AAATAGAACGATTGGTAAACGCAATGACTGTGGTAAAAAAATTATGTAGTTAAATATCACTCTACTGAAACATTCGAGGAAGCAGAAAAATGTAAAAAAAATGCAAATAAAAAATCAGTATTTCACGCGGCTACGAATCACGTTTTTATATTCATGGAAATATCCAAACAGGCTAGGTGAGAAACCAATGGTTATGAGCCAAACGCGCGTCGTTACGCCTTCTCTGTGCTTTCATTGTACGATTGAAAAATATTTGCGTACATTTCTGAGCGCGATTATACATTTTTCACCATATCTTTTCTCGCATATTTAGCGATTTTAAAATTTTATATACTTCACATGCACACAACTTCAATTAAATTGTGAAATGAAATTAAAAGGGATTATATGTAAAATCCACTTTCTTCTCTAAATCGACTATTAAATATTTCATTAGAAATAATAAATAGTCCTTAAGTGACAAGTGGTAAATTTAATTTAGTATGATCGGACCATTAATAATAAATATTAATTAAAATTATAGAAGTGTTTCATTTCGCACGTCAAAAGATTTATTTTCAACGATAACAATTGTCATCGATGAACCGATTAAAAATCACTCTTCAGCTTCGACCGATTACTTGAAAACTTTTCCAAGGGACCGCGAATAATAAAGGCGGAAAGGGTTGAAAACTTCGCTGAAGGATCATCGCGCTTTAAACGTTTTCATTTCGTGACGTTTCTCCGGACGCAAAGGGCCGCAGAAAGGAAAAAAAAAGAGAGCAGAATGGGGAAAGGTCCGCGATGGCGTCGTAGGATTCGTTGCTGATTGGACGATGGCAAGGGTACGCATTTTTAGCCACCCTTCGGATCTGCCCTCATTGTCATTTTAATTTCGATCCCCTCGGGGGCTAACGGAGGGTGGAGCGTAACAGGGGGAACGCTATAGGAGCTACGCACTCTTGGCAAGATTGGCTCGACGACGCAAAAACTGGTTACAACGGAATACGGTAAGATTATACTGGGTGTTCTAAAGTAAAGATGGTAAAAGAATTTTCATTTATTTATATTTGATTTAGTTAATTTCTCTAGGAAAGTACAT